AGTTGTATCTTGATTAGAGATTAAGTTTTGGCTAGTAAATCGATTAGAATTAATTATCTGGTTATTAATTTGAGAAACGGATATATTTGTTTGCTTAGAAAAATTACTCTTCTTGCAAGTTTTACAAATATTGATACTCGATAATAATTCTTGATTAGAAAAATTTCTTCTCTTGCAAGAATCACAAATATTGATTTGATGGATGCTTGATGATTCTTGCCTTTGATTAGTAATTGCATTGGTCAGGTAAAAATTGGTAGTAGTAGCATTATTTTGACTATTTTGACTGATTTGCTAAATGCTAGATGATTCTTGATTTGAATTAGTAGTTGTGTTGGTTGGCGAACAGATGGTTGTGGCTGAGTTGAATTTTGAGAATTGGCCTAAAAAGTAGCTGTATCATTGTTATGGTGCTGAAGTATATTAGTAAGCATATGTTGAATAGTAGAAGTAATATTAGATAAGTTTTGCATTATCGTAATCATTTCTTGATGTTGTGAAAAATTTTGTCATTGTAAGTTTTAATTAAAGTTGGATAGTACATGCTGGATATGTTGATTCAAATTGTAAACAATTTGTTGATAGGTATGACCATTGATATGATTAAAATTGGATTGTGCATGCTGGTGTTGATTCATATTGTGAACAATTTGTTGAGAGCTTTGATCATTGATACCGTTGATATGATTAATGTTAGATTGTGTATACTGGATATGTTGATTCATATCGTTAACAATTTTTTGAGGGCTTTGACCTTTGATACTGTTGATATGATTAATGTTGGATTGTGTATGGGTATGTTGATTCATATTGTGAACAATTTGTTGAGGAGTTTGACTGTCATTATTTTGCACAGGCTGCGAATTTGTATCCTGAGTATCATCAATTTTCACGAATCGAGGATTCCTATTTAAAAAATCTACATATTGAAAGTAATCAATATTTGGATCCCATGAGTAAGTCATTCATTTATTTTTGTGTTCAGTTAGTTTTTTATTTTGTTCGTCACTTAGTTGTATTCCATATATATCACAGTAATTTAAACATGGACCGCAAAGGCAGCCATTAGGATAAAAATGCCACCATGTGAGAGAAAACCATGTAGAAGGCATAGTTAATTGATTTTTTGATGATTTAGGCTTTTGTTAGAGAAAAATTATAGTATTTAT